ACGCTATCACATATGTCATAATTTGAAGCAAACTACGAGCTAAAAATTGTAATGCATCCTTCACTCCATTAAAATTTTATGCAGGATTCAGTAAGAGAAAGAAAAAATCAAATTATATTCAGTGCAAAGTATACTACTACATGCAAAATTCGTATTTCTGCGTAATTACCAATTTTTCAAGATTGTTTTTCAATTCAAAAAGGTTGCGAATCTGTTAGGAAGCACATGTGTTGTTGTATCGTTTGCTTACAAAACGGTATATTCCTCACAGTATTTAGTTATTTTTTTGATCCATGTATATTTACTTATTTACTGATCAATATTCAATTCCATATCTTTAGTATCTATTTCCATTTTTTAATTTATCTGATCATTTGTCAAAGGTGCATTGACTGTTCTATAGTGTTATGATTAGGACAAGCTGAGCACAATGTTTATATTGCTATTAATCGTTTGAGACTGCAGTGATTGCTAAATGACTGCCAATAAACTGTTAATCTAAAAGGGGAAGAAGTTGCTTTTAGGAATTTACACAGCAAAAATAATGAAAAGACAGACTGATAGATAGGCATTCTTTTGGCACTGATTATTCGCTCATTTTACTAACTCTTAATTCATTCTGCGGGTGACAGTTTGTGGATAAAAGTTGTGGTTTTTAACCATTCTTCCAAATTTTTTCAAAAAAAAAATGTATTTCGAAAAAAATTATTGCATGTTTTACTTTCCTTCTTTTGAATAAGATTACTCACTGTAAGCAGCAAGTTGTTCTTGTATGCTTTTCTCTAAATCTTCTTGACTTGTATGAATAGATGGCATAGAAATGTATTGTTACTATCAAAAAATTGTTTGCCATATTTCTTTTACTTGTTCCTCTCTATAAGCCGCTTAAATTGTTCCCAATGAATGAAGCTCTCATCGCTTTTTTTTTGAAAAAGATTTCTTCATGTTTTAATCAAGTTACCAGTTGGTAGTTTTGAAGTATGATCTGCTATACTAATATTATTAAAATGTTGCTGAGTTATTCGGTTCATATTGTAAACTGCATTCCAGTATTTTGTATTAATATTTGTATTCAAATATAAAACCATTCATTTTGAACTTTTACTTATTCCTTCAAAAAAACCGTAAGAGCAGATATTTTCAGTTTAAATGACACAAAACTATAAAAATCTATTCCAGTTCGTTCTCGTGAAATTAAATTAGACTTAAAAAATGTAGCTTTGTAACTTCATTACCGAATTTATATCTTTTCCCTTAAAAATTCATGCAAAATTCCCAGTTCCGTACTGTCGTTATTGAGTTTTCCTTTATTTCACAAAAAAATTAGTTCTGAAATTGGATTTGAAGCTTAATATTTTTCGAGCTCATGTTTCACAGTAATTTAAAGGATCAACTATCTTTGTTCAGGAAGTAATTATAAATGTCTCTATTCCCAGCATGAAATGCTTTTAGAACTTGATACTTGCCCACATAAACAATCATAATTTTTCCCGTATAAGATTTTTAAATTCTCATTTAATCTTATTGAAGATTTTTCAAGAGTCGAATGTAGATTTTGTAAGACAGTTTTACTATTATCATTCATTATGTTAAATGACGACATGAAAGCTCAGAACAAGCCAGAAACTGCTATCAACTTCAACATGACAATTGTTGTGCCATTTAGATTATTCCTCAACATTGTCTAGCCGACTTCTTCTTCCCTTGTGATTTATAAAGAGTAAAAAAGTTCCATATTAATCAATGAAAATCTGATCGACAATAATCGCTTTCTCAAATATGCCGTCTATTCAAAATAACTGATTTTTTTTGCTGTTGTGCAGTAAAATAAAACATGCTACTGCATTATTACAATGAGGCGTCAGAACCAGTTTCTAAAGGAATGGAACGAAAAATTTGCATTTTTAAAAAAAAATTATTTGATTCCGAGACAAAGCAGCATATCTCATGGTTTCGATTTAAGCTTTCTATTCGTATTGAACAATATTAGTCATTTAGTAGAGAAAATAGAAAACAGTTCTGAAAATATCAAAATAACTTTTAAAAAACATGAAGTGATAGATTGATTGAGTCTTTGACAGTGGCTTCGTTAAATATTATGGAAAAAAAAACAAACATTTCAGCCTATAATTGATTCAAATTATTATCTGCAGAAGAATAATGAAAAATTCATGATTAGGTAAAAAATTACATGAAAAAGCAAACAGTTTACTTAGAAGAATTCTATAAGAGCAAGGGCACTAAGCTAGAACAAAGAATCCTTAATTATCTATTTTTACTAACAATAAAAAATTGACTAGAAATTAATTACGAGTCAACTTTTTTTGCTGTTAAATTTTGAGTAAAATTAAATGCATGTAACGTACTCATTAAACCGTCACTGCTCGCCACTATTACTTCACCAAGAACTTCGTAATTTTCCTACCTTTAGCTTATCTAAAATCTATTAACAGAGATTATCAATCGACGAATTTTGATAGTGAAAAATGCTTTGCACGTGAAAGTATAAACGTGTACCGTGTTGCTCAATTTGGCTAAAAATGTAGTTAAAAATTCAAGAATGTGCACAAATTTTTGGTTAAAAAAATGAACGAACAGGAAAATGAAATCATGGTTTGAAAATAATGGCTAATAATGGTTTTCTCCATTTTTTTCTGTAAGTTAAAAATAAATACTTTAGATAACGTTTTGTATGCAAGATATGTTGTTGTAGTTTAAATAGACTTAATAGTGGCTTCTGTGGTAAAGCAGTTTGTTTACATTGTAATAGTTTTAGTCCATTTTTTTTTCGATTTCATTTTACTGTTGCTTATTCCTCTATATAATGAATGATTAATTTTGGTCGAAACAATAATTATATTCTCATTAACCAAGGGCAGATCAAAAGTTCTTCACTGATTATGTATTAATAATGTATTCACATTTAATAATCACAGCGAAAAAAGTATATTTTATTTTGTGGCAGACAATTCTGTTTTTAACTACATTGCCATTTTAACTTCCTGTAACCCAATCCAATTTAGTTTGGAACATTTTTTTATTCTAATAAAATGAGATATTGGTAGAAATAAGAAAAAACTGAGTTTTCAAATTCATAAGTTTGCTGCCGAAACATAGATTTTTCATATTTTCTGTTTCCTGCAAACGAATTTTACTGCTGATCATTACATTCATGGCAAGAGTGAAATTTTTTCAATTTTGATTGACTTTTTGGAAAAACAGGAAGAACTTTCTAAACTGCAACATGAATTTTCCTCTGGCTGCCTGAATTAATGTTATAAATCTTTTCATTCCATTTTCCTCTTATCTGTACAGAGCATTTAAATTCATTTTTAGGGGTTGATATATGGTTCTTATAAAAAATATTTCATTGATGGAGTTGATGGAGAAAGCCACTATTGAATTTCCAACAGCTATCTTGTTCGTACATTATTTCAATGAATTTATTACATGAAACTGCAATTTATGGCTTATCACGCTCTTCTTATAACCACAACGAATGAAAACTTAAAACTGATTGAAACTGTACGTTAATTTCTGCTCTCTTCCCATCAAGACGTCAACATTTTTTAAAATCGTAACAACTTTTTTTTGGAATTTACTCTTCTAAACAAAAAATTCCTATAATAAAACGGTTCGTCTTAAAACATGAAACTTTTTTACTTATTTTCTTTCATACTAATTTCAAAAACAAGAAATAGCAGACTTTCATTATTTAAAAAAATTCTACATTAATTAATTGCTTTCTCATTTTCGATACCGGTATTTGATGAATGCAAAGACAGAAGTATATAAAGTATTCATATCCTAAAAACTTTAAATTCTTTAAATTTAATTTTCAAAGATGCAATTTAAAATATTATATTAGCTATCTCTTATCAAACCTCAATTCTTTGCACTTTTTTTTAATTTAACTATCACTATAATTTAAAGGTATTATTAGGTGAAAAAAATGTAAACTTAAATATACATAATTATCCTCATTTGTAATTGTTTACGACGAAAAATTGTTTTGTTGTTGTTGAGTAATTATATAATTTAAAACAAATATGTCATATCCTATGACGATCACTAATATTGCAAATAGTATTACGATTATCACGATTATTTTTCCACTAATGTTGTTGCATTAAATCAATCTAGGCTTTATGAAGAACAGCTGCAAAAACTGATATTCAAACGATCAGCAGTAGAATTTCATTTATTAAAAGGGTGCTTTATTTAAACCTTCACTCTCACTCCACATTTTTCCCATAAATAAAAGTTTTTTTAAATAAAAGTAAAATTGTTTCTGCTTAAGAGTCAATTTCTCAACTAATACTTTGGTTGTATGTAAACTGCGAATCGACATTTTTAATTTTCCAACGTTTAAACGAGAACAAATTGTGATGACAAAAAGACATTTGCACAATTCATCAAAAAAATGATATGTAACTAAACATGCAATGAATTTTGAACGAAAATAATTAGGCCGATTGAGCAGTATCAATACTATTTATGTATCTTAGATAACTAACTATCTATCTATATACTATATGCATAAATTTTCATTGCCATTTCTAGCATGAAAAAGTCATCAAAATCTGGCAGTATTGATACAATCAATCGATGAATTCTTCCCAACTTATTTTCAAATCATCATATATAAATGGACCAGTCGAGCAAAACTTCAGATGGTGTATCAATATATAATTTGAATATGTTGCTTAAAATCTAGATTGAGCGAATAACTTTAAGATAATGATCAAAGATCCTATCTTACCAAAAATAGTCTTATTCTGAAGTTGGCACAAATACTTATGACTATACCATTGCTTGTTCAGTATATAATTGTAAGCAGTGGTGAAATAAACTAGACTCTATTTTCGTTTTTGATGGGATATGAGCGAAAAAAAAAATTATTATTGTATTATGCTGATTAAAAAATTATACCAATTAAAAAAATGTTTAAGACAAGTGACCTGCCATAGTGATAAATATTAATTATGTTGTGTGTGTTGTCAGTCTTCAAACCAGTCTGGAGGTTTTACGAAAAATACACCGCCATCTGTAGCACAGTACGTAGGACAGACCTGAAATTAAAATGAAATATACATTTCCATTAAAGTAATCAAACTTCGAAGATATTGTGTGATTGTGGTTCCATAATAAATTGGATAGAGCATGTTTGTAACAACTAGTTTGAATGTGTTAATCAAAAAATATTTGAAAATTCCAAAAGTCTAATTAATATCATACTCCAAGATTTCCATCTGATCCAACTTTTCCGACTGGTCCTTGCAATCCAGGAGCTCCTTGATTTCCCGGTAGTCCATCTTGACCAGGAAGTCCTCTTTTACCAGGAGGTCCTGGAGGCCCGTCAAGCCCTGGCATTCCGCATGGTCCTGTAGTGTGAAAATGCTTGGTTGTTGATGGATTCATGTTTGATATGATCTGACATATCTTATGGATACATTTCGAAAACAATATTCGAGGACTCACCAGAAGGCCCAATAGGTCCAATGTCACCTGTTGGACCAGGCGGTCCAGGGATAAACGGCGTTGGTGTCGCGTCGAATCCTGGATCACCCACATCTCCATCCAATCCTGGAATTCCTGGAGGACCTCTTGGTCCTAATGGACCAATTTCGCCATCTTTGCCATCTTTCCCATGAGATCCAGGAACTCCCACTGCACCTTTATCTCCTGGTAGTCCCTACAAACACTTACTTGAAAAGAGTTGTTCCGAAGAAATTGTTGCTAGAATAATTGATCAAAGTAATGAACACAAAATGATCAATTATTCCCATATTTATTTATTTCTAGGAAGTTCAGTACCTAATTTATGAAAAACTCACAGTTGGTCCTTGCTTCCCTTGTTTTCCAATAGGACATGGATCAGCGCATATCTTTTTCAAATCAGTTGGTGGAAGACAAGGTAAACGAGCAGGATATCCAGGAGCTCCTGGAGCACCTGGAGGACCTCTTAGTCCTTTGCGACCTGGTAAACCTTTATGACCAGGTCGGGGAGAACACCTGAATTCAATATCAGTACATACTAACTCCGAAACCAAAGAACTGGTTTGAAGTGAGCACATTCATTTCTGTAAAAAGTTGCTACTCACAATCCTGGCAATACATTTCCAAATGAGAGAAATAAATGAACTAATGTCTTTCTATAAGTAATACGGATTGTAATAATGGATTCAATTTGCTTCAAGAATCTAAATAGAGTAGATTATTTTTGTTTATAAGATGTATCAGTTTCAATTCGATTTGGGTCGGCTAACGACAAAAATAACGAAAGACTTTACAACGATTTTAAAATGAAATCAAATAATTAGAAGCTATATTCACATTTTTCTATTGCTGCACTCAAACATATTAAAATCATGATTTAAATATCAAGACTGAAGTATCACATTCTTCTGTGCAAGTTATTTTTACTCTAAAAACGTTGATTTCCAGAATTGCAGAAATGACATAGAAAAGTAAGTAAATTTAGAAAATAATTTCAGTATTCAGAAACTAAGATTGAGCCAATAACAGTTGAATGCAAAAAAAAGTGCAGAAAAATCTGTGAAAATCTGTATTTAAAGATATCAGTATTTAAAGTACTAATTCTTACATCGCTTTGAATGCTAACCCTTATGCTAAAATAGAAGTATATTTTTATGCAAAATGCTAATACCAACCTACACCTCTTGTCGTCATGCTGAACGAGAATTGCATCTCTTTGTGCAGAGTGTATTTCAGGGTTTATCGCTTCCACAAAGTAATCTGAATCTTTTTTAGTGAATGGCAGATCATGAACATATATAAATCCACGTTCACTGTTCAACACTTGTGAAGATTCATTGTGTAAATAAGCAGTATTCTCGCCAGCGTCATTACTTAAATTAGCAACTTCAGATTCTAGCAATGCTATTTCACGTTGTTTCCTAATACTCTTTCCAGATTCCCGTCTCAACTGTACTGAATGTAATGATGATGCGTAATTGACTCGGAATTTCGACACCGATGGCAATTCAAAATTTGATGGATTTTTATCACGTTGAATTCTCTGCCACTTTCTTTGGCAATTGCTCGAATTTCGGGAACACATTAAATATTGGAATATGACGTCAAACTACAAATATTAGACATTACGATAGTAGCTTCCAATTCAAGAACCAAATGATTCATAAAAATTTAACGACCAGTCACAAATAATTTAGGACTAGTTCAGACTTAGTCTCAACTTTTTAGAAAAAAGCAAAAAAAAAAAAACTACTGACACTGACTTAGTTTAATCCTCTGAGGATTTCACGTTGCCAATCCCTATTAATAAAACTAAATAGAGTGGATCCAAGTCTTTGAGAAAGACAGATATAATTTAGTTAATAATGTCGTCCTTATACAGTAGAAATTAAAAAACTAGGTCGAGATTTACTTCTTTCATCTTTCCTCTTCTAGATCAATACAAACTGCTCATCGCTCATGATTCATCTATTATTCTTTAAATATTTATAAAGCAGTATGAACCTTGTTAAGTTGCACGTTTTGAATGCTCGCATTTTTTGCTATCGCATTATCATTTTGAGTATATAATTTTGTATCCATATAATTAAGATAATTAAGTGCACTTTCCTGCAAATTAATGAAATTGATAATTATCAATTACAGGTAAGATTCGAAATTTAAATCGATTGCATATTCATCAAATATTGTACTGAGCCGTTAAAAAAATTTTCTGAAAGCGGGTGCGTGAGGGGCAAGTTACCGAAGAATTATGTCATAAAGCCTACATTAGAATGAATTCTAAAATTATGCGAGTTTAAATTCACCAATACTCTTATGAAAAGCATTAAAATTTGAAGATCAGTTCGAATTTACTTCACATAAAAAGAGCTCATTCTGTATATTGCGACTGGTATAGTTTATAGAGCAGCTTATAATTAGCGTTAACGCCATAAATGTAATAATTGATAGGACTGCAGTGAACATTGCAGCAACAATTGTGAATTGGTAAGCTTTCTCTCGCCCTTCATCCAAAGAATTGAGCTCCATATATAGATGATGAATATTGTCGAAAATTTCGCTTCAGTACCTTATAAGAATATCTCTATTTTTAACACCAATCCAGAATCAGGATAACTTCGTTTACTAATATTTGAAAAGTTTTTTCTGAAATAACATAAGTTTTCATCATATTTTAACTTCTTGCTTATTTTCAAGCATTAGTAACCATTTGATAATCCATCAACAAAAATGACCTAAAAGAAGCACCACTAATCTATCAACAATCAGTCGAATAACAATTTGAACTTTAAGCTAGTACTGAAAAAAGCTCAGATTGAGTTCTTTTTTAGTACCTACTTGAAATAATACGTTATCTTTGCATACAATATTTCAATGACATAAATATGATGGTTGTACTGATTCTGGGCCTCTTTTTGTTGAAATTTAATTTTACTACATTGCCATTCTTATCAGTTCTCTATAAACATTTAAAAAGTTCTTCTTGGCCTACTTATGGTTTCAAAAGCAGCAGGTTCTTGTGACTGACATAAATTAATTCCTAGTATATACTAAAATACAGGAGTTTCGTATACCCAATTTTGTTTTAAAGCAATAACATTAGTTCTCAATTTTTAAAGAGAAAGATTTGTACATTTATAACCATTACAAAAAAGTAAACAGAAATGATTTCGGACAAAACTTTAAGAAACTGTCATCACCGTTTATAGAAGTGTATCACTGGAAGCCACGAAAGAATGATTATCGAGATTCTCAAAACAATCATTATCAAAGCACAGTGAGAATTAATCATAAAAATTTAATAAATTTTTTTGTCCAGGAAGTTTTTCAAAAGACAAAAAATTTTATCTGTCTATCGTAATGTAAATTTCATCTCTGACCTGAAAAAATCACCCCGTTTTTCTTTCACAGCAAATGCCCTCAATTCAAGCTACGCCCACATTTCATATTATAAACCAAACAATACCATAAATCCGTGAATTGCCTTTTTCCTAGCTGCTCATGATAAAAAACAAAATATGACTCTAATTGTTCTTCTTCCCGCATCTGGCAGTTTTCCTTTTTTAAGCTCTTGAATTTTCAATGATACCCCAACATTTTCTTGTTTTTTATTCTACCGAGGTAAAGTACAGTAGCTAGCATCTGATAACAACAACATCTGAAATATGGTCCTAATTTTTAAATTTTGAATCTTCTGAGAATTCGACTAAAAATTAATAAGTTCTCTTCCGCTCAAAACATGATTAAAACCATGCATAAACAATACTTCCTCCCACTAATAATGTTTTCACGATGTAGTTTTTCAGTTTATCACCGTAGGTTATTTGCATCTAGCTAATATTTCTGATTTTTTTAACTCTTCAGTTTTTTTAATACATTTTCAGCTTAAATTCGTTTCATTATAGATTTTAAATACTAAAATGTTTGCACCAAAAGACTTAGCGACCAATTTGTATACAACTCAAAACCCATTTCAGCGACTATTTATTGTACTTTTTGTGTAATTCAGTTCCGATATGTGAAGAAAAACCTTTATCTCCTCAAAAAAAGATAAAAATTCCTATAAAACCACGTCACTAACACAGTTATTATTTACAATTACTGTTAGAATTCATATACCAATTTAATCGTGATCTCACTTTTGCTTGCAAATAGCAAAAGGAACCAGTTTCAAATTTAAAATGAAGTTGATATTATGTTACTTAAGATCTTTATACACCACAGATTATTCTGTCATATTAACAGTTAACGATCACAGAAAAAAAAATGCACACCCATTGTGCTTATAGCAGTCTTTAATGATATCCTATTCCTGAAAGAAGATCAAAACTAATCCCAAAAACTTGTCCCACAATAAGAATTCATTATCAAAGAAATTTGATATTCGCAACTGGAATCTCAATTTAGTGAGCACAGATAAAAATGTAATTTGATTATGGATATTTCATAGCTAAAATTGCAACAACGTTGGAATAGTAAAAAAAAATATGTCGTTTAAGCTTGAACTACATAAACAGTGATTTACAATGCTCACAAGGGTTGCTCCTTTTATTTGATTATCACAATATCGTGATTTATTTCATTACCCAAAGCAGTAAGTTAAACAATGTAAGGAATAACATTTCTTGATAATTCAGAATTTGCTTAAATTTCTTTTCACACCGTTTTGTTTTAGAAAAGCAGAAGTCCACTGATAAAAATGACACTTCATGGCAATCTGCTAATGTAACAAAGATGAATAATCTCATTAATTAGATTCAGATTGAAGAAGTAGATCTAGTAAACAAAAACAATTAGTTAAAGCATGATGAAAACTTTCATAACTATTGGAAAGGTTCTCAAGAAGAAAATTTTAAGGACCTTGAACACAAACAAATGCAAGAATACGCTGACATAATTATATAAATTCTGTAGAATTTTTGACTTTATGTCAAGCATTGAGTCACAAGTATAACCAAAGTGTGAGTAAAATTTAAATTCACGATAATGCCTTGTCCTGCATAACCATCTTACCCCCTTCCCAAAGTGATATTTGAAGTAAAATTCAGATACCAAGCTGATAATGAACACGAAAGCGAAAATTAGAAATACAAATTTTAGATAATAGTTGGGAATGAGTGGATAATGAAAAACAGCTAGTACAAATGAAAGCATTAATATATTCAAGATCACTAATAAAAGAATAAAGTCATAAAATGGTGAAAACAGTTGATATAAGTGATAAAAAAAATTTCCATCAAAGATCATTAGATAAATACGCTCTACCTCTTAATGAAACATTTTATACAATAACAATTATTACAAATGATCATGCAAACAATTCTATAGAAGATTTCATCGCACATAATTGAGGTAGTTCTGTACGAAATGTCTTAAATTCGTCAAAACCGTATTAATTTCCCAAACATACATAGTTGAAGATGCAACTAACGAAATAAAGATGATTCAAATATGCTTTTACAGCAAAAATGAGTACAACGAAATATTTCACTCCTAAAAAGCTATAAATCTATTCACATAAAATATTTTTTTTTAGAAATACTAAAAAAAAGAGGTATAGATTCCTAGAATGAAACTCACCTTTCTCTGTAGAGATTTATACAGCACTTCATTTGTTGGTATTCCTGAACTGATGGATATCTAAAAAGAAATATATAAATTACAAAGCTCTTTTGCAATGGGAAAGAGTTCTTGAATGAGAAGTCATTTAAAGGTTTTTGCATGTAACTTCTATGAAATAAACTTCGTACACAATTATGCTTTAGTTCCTTTTATTTATAAAAAATAATCTTATACACTTCAAAACACAAATTCATCTATATATTTTATCTAACGAGATAATTCTGTATCATGACAGATTTTATCTGACTTCGAATGTACTTCCAAACTTTAATCGCGCAAAGTAGAGCTACTGATAGGAAGTGTAGCTACTAATAAATGGTGAAATATCGTAATAAATATTAGCAGCACAATTTTCCGTTAATATCATTCAATCTTTCACTCGCTATAGTTACATTTTTGCTGAATTCATGAATGTCTATATCTACACTTTCTTCCACGAATCATTTCTTAACAATTAGATGATGACTCACATTCGATACCCGTATCAGTTTCCCTCATCAAAAAAGGAATATTTCCTGCACTGTCATCCTTATCCTTACGAGCAGCAGTCTTCTATAAACATAAATAGATAATTCAGTGAAAGGGTGATTATAGAACAGATCACATCAGATAAGAATAACAAGTATTTGAGCCATTTTATAGCTAGTAGCATCCGTCTTTTTTTTCCCCCAGTAACATGAAGTTTTATTGAAGAAAGAGTTAATTCACAACGAAAACTCTGGATGTACTTTTTCACAGGAATTAATAATTTCCAATCAGTCCAATAAATATTACCAAAGAAAATATTATATTAACGCAGCTTGCCAAAAAATTCATTTGATGAATAAACTAAAGACATATATATGGATTTACAGAAAATTTTCAACCGTGATTTGTATTTTCGACGGAACACTTCAAGTAGAATGAGTCTTACTTCATTTATCGAACGGCTTGCTGCATAGGTCAATGGATCATTGAAATTGGGATACATCTAAAAAATATATTTCGCTCACAAAGTATTAGTTATAAAACGATCTAATGTTACATCTACTGTCATCCTTAAAATATGACGTGTGTGAACGAAATGTTACAAATTATTTTCAGAACAATTTTCAGAGAGTGCAATACATAAATATGAAGATGGAAAAAAAATAGAACGGTTTATGATACAGATCACTATCGCTGATTTAAACTAAACAGATTTAGAGAAAAAAAATGAAGAGATTGAATTTTATACTGGTTTTATCACAAAGACAAGGATTTATGATGAAAATCTATCACCGAAGCAAGACTTAATCTTTTAGATTACTACGATATATTGACATTCATTTTTCGATAATAACATGTATTTAAAAAAAAGATTAAAAGTTACCAGACGAAGAATGCAAAGTACTTTTTGGATTTGTTGAATGGAAGGTCTTTCGTTAGGCACTTCATTCCAGCAACTGAAAACGTTACACTTTTCGATATTTTACACGTTCCCTTTGACAGCAGAATGATAAACTGCGTTGAAAAGATATATTTAAGAAAAATTTTAATCTTTATGAATACGACAAAATATTATGCAAAATTTCTGAAATATTTTCACCAAGAAAGTTACTAGTGGATAACTAAAATATAACCTTTCGATCATTTGCATCAATCTGGCTGGAATATTTGCAATGACAGGAGGCCTTGAACCTGCGTAAACCTACAAAATATATTAAGAAAATAATTTTGACGTTGAGGTATTGAAGTACTTCTCAATATTAAAGTAGTTAAAAAGCAAAGCCAGATTATTTTAAATCCGAAGATTAAGTTTCCTTTTCTTGATATTTCTAATCATTGTTCAGTTCACAATTTCATAGAATGTGGGAAAAAAAAATGCCAGAGTTTTAAAAAACATACGCTCCACAATATTTCCTCTGCATTGCTATATTCATCATATGGTCTTTTTCGAGTAATAATTTCCCAAAGAATAATTCCAAAACTATAATAATCTGAATACTTGGATGGTGGTGAACCACTGATGACCTAAAAAAGTTATAGGTAAAACTTAAATTCTTAAATAAAAACTTCAGTTGCTTTGTTAACTTTCTTTGCATCAATTTCTAGCATCTTCTGCATTCGTGAAAATAAGAAACTAAAAACCATCACACACTTCAGGAGCCATCCATGATGCTGATCCTTGTCTATAGTCCATATCGCAATTCGTATATATCACTGTACCGAAATCCGCAACTTTTAGATGATGATAGTTATCTTGAAGCAATAAACTAAAATATATTTATTCTGAGCAAACTTTATTTTCTAAGACCGCTATTGAAATATTATTACTTTATATCTCAGAAGTACAAACAAAAACTTTAATTTTAGTATTAACAAATGAGATAAAAATATAACTCATAGGCACAATCATGTCAATACTGCTGAAACTATATCAAGAGCTAATTTTATAAAAATCTGATTGCGTTGAGAACTATAGAAACAAGAGTCAGTAATATATCAAATCACTGAATTAGACACGTTAAGAATTACCTAATAAATCAATGATAACTGAAATGAAGCTGGCCAAATTTTGAATTCATACAATACCAAATCAATTTAAAAAAAGCAGAAATTTTTAATGAAAAAAGGAATGAGAAATTGAATGCAGTCTTAACACAAAAGCAATATACTGAGAACCGACTAGAAGCTAGTTATAAATTCTGTATTATTTTTATAGATGAAGACAGAATAGAAAAATTGTAAGAGCAATTTCACAACTTGAAGCTCCAAGGAAAAAAAGAAAACAAGACAGACTTGGCTGGTTTCAAATCGGCATGAGCACAATGTTTTCCATGTATATAAGCCATTGCATCAGCACACTGTGAAGCCCAATGAAAAGCATGATCCGCTTTATAATCGATATTTTTTGTTACATGTAATACTGAAATTAATGCTAAAAATAATTTTAAAAACTACTGATAGTAATGAGAAAAACAATATAACTGGTGTGAAAAGCTAAACTACTGAATGACTTACAATGATCAAGTGATCCACATTCCATGTACTCCATTGCTATAGCATGTACTGGACGAACACATGCACCAAATATAGCAATTACGTTTGGATGATCAAAAAAACGCATTGCTTCGACCTTAATGGACTAAAGGATTTTAAATCTTACCAGAAAATTTCAAATATTTGTCGCACAAATTAAAAAATACAACTATAACATTCATAAAATATAATAATTCCCTATCATCATGAATAATCTGAGCGAATTACTCTCTTCTCAGTATCAATTACTTAAGAAAATATTAAAATACGATTCTACATTCAAATATAATTCTAACAAATTATTAATAAAACAACGAGAACCTCTTTATAGAATATTCCTCGTAAAACTTCATTTGACTTGATAATCTTTAAGGCCACTGTTATTTTGTTACACTTAGCTTTCCATACATCGCCGTAGCTCCCTCTGGGAAACAAAAAGAAAACTAGTCAATTTATTGTTGTTCTTACAAATATGAGTGACCCATATTTTCTAAATATTTGTATGAAATTTTCAAACCAAACGAAATGATATATATGACTTGCTTCTGATGATTCAGGACAAAGTGCATCATGATACTGAGCAAACACAATACAAAATGGCTTGCTTGCAAATCTAGAACATAAAATTTCCAAAATTTTTAGATTCATCTTTCCATTCGATAAGATGTTTATCACTTCACTAGACAAATCAAATGAACAAAAGCACATGTAATGCAACTCCCAACCATTACAGTGACTTACCGACCCAACAGATGTATTAATTGGAAAGCATAAAAATCGGCATTTAAGAAGGGATCATTATTGAAATCATCCGCAATTGTTGGAGACGAGAATGATGCACTACCATTAATTGAATCACCTAGCTCTAAATTATTTTCGATTTTTAGAGGAGGTAATACATCCATCTGCAAATACAAAGCAAACTTGAATACAAATTGCAGAAATATACCAAAATTAATCAATCCTTTAATTATATATCATAACAATTTCTGAAGACGTTTTTTTCGCTAATTTTCCAAGTTCGCAATAACTGTATCCACATCATACACCAGTCCTCTTGCTTTCTAAGGCTGTCTTTACAATTAAAGTTAATATGCGGAGAATAGCAGTCAGAGATTTAAAGAGGATATAAGACACCACTACCAAATTTAATAGAGATATTGGACTAAAATCTTTAATTATGATATTGACAACGAAAATGAGAATTTTCATAACATGAAAGAAATATCAGTATATTTCAGCAACATGAAAGTCAGTATACAAAATACATTAAAATAAAAAAGCAAATGTAAGTCTCACAGTAACGAAAAATTACGAAATAGATAATAATAATTATCTAATAATAATAATAATAATCTAATAGATAACAATAATAATTTGAAACTTTGCTCATTTGTCAAAATCCATCTAGCGACCGATCATTCAGAAACTACATCAGTTAAATGATTAATTGAATGCAATCAAGATGTGATCTACATGCAAAGAGTTTTTTGTACAACATTTTTAGTCCAACAGTAAAGTAGAAGAAAGAAGGCAAGTACCAGACAGTAAATAACAAAATATGACACTGAAATTGGCATTGAACATGAACAGTACTTGAATTCTACAGACACACCAAGTGAAGAAGAAAGAGAATTAAGCACATTTCCTAGGTCGAACAAATTACACAATTATTTGCAAAAAATAATCAGTGACCGGAGATGTGAGAGGACAGATGCAATAAATCTAAACTAGCCTTTTATTTAAAAATATTGCTGACTCAACACATATATTAATATGGAGCAAGGTAACAGATTAAAAAAAGCTTGTAGTTATGAAAATGCAAAATTTATAATTAAAAAAATTGAGCTTTTTAACAAATAAAAAAACAAATACAATGGTTTAGATTAAGAAATATAGAACGGGAAAGAAGATGAGCATTTCCCTCTACAAAATATCTTTATGGAACTTCAACTCATGAGGTGTCAAATATGAAAGTACAAGCAATGATCGAAAAATCCTAATGAAACAGGCACATATCTATTCAGAATTGGTTTCCGAGGAAGGATGACATTTTGCGATTGCATCGAGCAGTTTCCCTGCATTATTTAATTGCTGTAGCTCCAGAAAACCGCCAATAAATTTTCCACAAATGAATATCTGAGGTACCGAAGTTTGTTTTGTGATATGAACTAACCCATTGACAAACGATTGATGTTGTTCAGGATGCCAACGCTGAAATATAGTTTTGGAAATCAAGTTTTGAAATAACTCGCTCAGAAAGCATAATCATAAAATAGAGTTCTACTGTTCAGCGCACAAAAAACTGCAGAATTTGATAACCCGACTCAAATAAATTTTTAAATGTCTTTAAAAAATTTTTAAATCAAAAATCTTTTTAAATTTTATTTACTATGTTCGATGTCATTCATCATCCTATGCTTGCCCCAAAAGACCTTCATATATAAATCAACGGTAATCTTACTATTTAATCAACGGTAATCTTACTATATATTAAATTAATATCACAGTTGAAGTGCAGACCCAATCAAGATTCATTTTCAACAAAAATGAAAACTGTAAAAGCAGAAATAACTCCTGTTAATTTTAAACACAGTATTTGCAGTTTTCAAACTTAAATAACTAAAATATTGTCTAATTTATTGCGTAGTAAATGCCTCTTAGTGCTAACCAATAGTTGCTATAAATAGTGATTATTCCTCATAAATAAACTGCACATCACTTCATTCATATGATGCACTATTGCTTTCCAACAACAACAATCATCTGCTAACACCGAATATTGTATAATAATAAATTATTGCACGGAAAGAACGAATTAAAATTAACTGATATAAGTGCTACTAATTTTGAGTTTATCAGGAAAAGTAAATTATCAATTACAAAAGACGATAAATTAAAGTGCAAAATATGACATCTTTCCTTGAAAAATCTCCTCATTGGATCCAGATAAAAAACTGCCATTTTATCGTATTTTTCATCAATGCATTATGCTTATTTCGAAAACTTGAAAAAAAAATGTATAGCACAACACATAGATTACGGAAATATAAGTAACCTCATGAGCATCCAAATCGGTTTCCTTGTATTTCACTTGCCTACTGTCTAACAAAAGTTTTGCTTTGGCACAATAATGACATTTTGGTCTTGTGTATAATACTACCGGAGAGCTTTCAACTTCTTTCCGAATCGACTCTTCATCCGTTTGAGGCATCTTAGAAAAAAACTGTCCCATTTCTTGGAGTGTGTCTGGAAATCATTGATGACTCACTTGAATGATACAATGAAAGATTACCCCTAAAAGAATTCTAAATATAGTAATGACGGACACCTCCTACACTCCTCCAGTGGGAGTGCAAAAAATGAACTGGACTGAAACTAATACACTAGAAATGCGATTACTCAAGTTACTAACGTCGTGATGGACATGATAAAACTTGACGATGAAAACAGTAAATAATAACCGAACCCTTGCATATTCCGACCGGTTACCTATGAACTTAATACGATTCTTGGAAGTAGATTATTTATGCCTATGAATAATCTGAACTCAGGAATTGATTTTTTAAAGGAGAGTTAACGAAAAAATGAATAATAAAATAACACTTGATTGCAAATAAATCCAGAAGCTTGTCTTTATATCAACAGATTACAAATTCGTCACGTACACTAACTTTGTTTCTTGCTTTCAAAATGAACAAAGATGAAATGAAAATCTTCACTTTTAGTACGACAATACAAATAAAATTTAAAGGTTTAATTTTTGACATAAAATGAAAGATATTTCAAAGTTAAAACAACGCTTCAGACATAAGTAAAATTGAACAATAGATAATTTATACAAACGAATACAAAAACATTTTTTACCAGTCCATAAAAAAGTCATTTTACCAGTTCATATAAAAGTCGTGCACTTGTAATAACTATACTGCAACATACTATAAAATTAAAATGACCACTATGGTTCAAGTTCAGAACTAAAACATTAAAGAAGTGGTCTTACAACTAAATACTGGAATAAACAATATGCACAGGCGCGAAAAAGTCAAGAAAGTAAAGCATTATATTAGCAACCAATGCACGATTCTTCGAACAACACGTTTAAACTGAATTCAAGTACAGGAATTCTCCGCAAAATGCTCATAATTAAACAACCTTTAAATCATCAATTATGAATGTCATAATCAATTTACAGGAAACGAAATCTGAAACATCAAAACAGCATCATTATTATTCAAAACTTTGTGAATCACATTTACATTAATATCTGTCTTTAAAATCTTGAAAAATTTGCAAGAACAAAATGAATATTTTTTTACAGAATCTTTTTAATCATGTAAAAAAACTATTTATGTAAATGTTCGCTGCATCAGTATAAACCTAATTAGAAAATGAGATAATACGAACTAGCAGTATAACAACGCCACAAACTACGAGAGGACATACAGTAAATGATAAAATACATGGCGAGAATTGTAGTAATTAAGCTCGAAAAATATAAATATTATTTTCTGGGACTTGTAATTCATCCAATAACCTGAAATAAATGATACTGCAAAAATAAAATGAATTTGGGAATGCTTTTTCGTACACGACTAAATAAAAATAGTAAGCTTTGAAAAGGAAATACTTTGAAATACATTATCATGCATCTTGAAATAGTAAGAAAAGCGGATAAAACCACAGTTTTATAACTAAACGAAAATGTTCGTTATAATATCCGTGAGACAACATAGATAATATTTTCAAAGTGCATGAATATCATGAGCAAACACAAAAATAGCATGAAATTGCTTCAAAATTACTTACTTGGCTGCACAATCAGTAAAGAGATCTGGCCCACAAATATATATCCGATAAGAGAATCTATCAGTACTTTCATCTATATATTTTGAAAGCAAATCTTTCGAAATAAAACCTGAAAATGTAAGAAGATGCAAGGTATACCAAATTTATAGTAATATAATTTTAAAAAACCGATTAGATTCGGTCTACCAAATACTAGAACATATGATCTTTTTTCTGTATCTTGAAAATTGCAGTTGAAAAAGAGAAATTTTTTCTTTCGCTAGCGTGAATTATTTGCAGAACAGACCTTTTTCACCACACCATTCTTGTCCAGGCTCACTGAGGCAGTTTACTACGTTTAACAGTGGATGTTCCGGTCGTATTCCCCATTCTCCAAAATGATCTTTCGGCACTATGTCAATCAATTTTCTATTAAAAATAAGTAGAGATATCCTAAAACAAGTGAACTTTTTCACGTAAAAATAAACTGATGAGAACTAACGGAAAAAAATGCATTGTTTGGAAGTAACTGGAAAAAATAGATTTCGAAACAATAACACATTTTCAGTGCGAAAAAAAACGTACGAGATGTTGTTATTTAAACATTCTGCTGCTAATCGAATCATGGGTGATAAGCCTGTACCAGCAGCTAATACAAATACAATATTTGTAGAATCTGGAAATGCATTGAAACACCCCAATGGATCACTGACTTCTATCAAATCTCCTAAAAACCAGAGAATTTTCACTTTCATTGAAATTCCGATGACCAATAACCGTATAAAACTGATATTGCCTACAACCAGGCACATTACAAATAAAACTTCATACATCGTATTAAACAGTATGAATTCAAACTAATCATTTTTAAAACTCCAGACGTTTTTAAAAGTGAAAATTTACCGCATTTCTTGTTGCGCAGCAAAGAAGTAAAAATACCATTTTCATAAAATTTTATCAAAAATGAAAGAGATCTGCCATCTTTTGATAAGGCAACTGGCGTATATGGCCTTTCAATCAAACTTCCTGAAGAAAAAGTTTTCCATATCTTGTCATTTCTTCGCAAAGAATAATTTAAAAGTGAATTTTAAGGCAAAAACAGATTATGGCAACAAGTGAAAAATAAATTGGTCCTAAGATAAAATTAATCTACATAAAAACATGAAAAATTCTAGTAATAACAAAAAACATGACCGACCACATGAAGAAAACTCACCATTTCTACTGATTCGCAATCTCACGTGGTGACCTACTGGTACCATTAAGCGAGAAAAAGGCGGCATTTGCAATATTATTAAACAAATATTATGTGTTATTGGAGATATTCTGTGTATCTTGCAATTCCGGTATTCTCTGACTAAAAATTTAGAAGACTAAGACTCATTTCAATCAAATTACCAAGAAGTTACTATTTAGGAAAGCGATACTCTGCAGAAATTCAGTGAAGAGAACGAAAATAAGTACTTGGCTTATAATGGAATATTCCTGAAGCCCATTCTTCTTTGAACTTGTCGTGATCATTTTTAATACATGACAAAGATATTGTACTGCCATCAATATTTCTAAGAAAAGGTTCAATAAACAATACACTCGAAATATTTGCTGCAAGAGATACTGTACAAAAATGTGTCTAGTTAGTGGTATCGCTTTTAAAACATAAAATTACTCATTAACTTCTATGAAAAAAAAATATTTTGAATACAATCTCAATTAGAACAACAAATAAAAGTTGAAAATAGGGAACTTCTATCTTAAGCAAATAAATCTGAAATACTTTGACAATATTAAGTAATAATTAGAAATGATGGCTGAAGCGAATGCTTTCGGAGTTCACCATGCTCACGTTTAGAAAATAATAAGACATTGAAAGTTTGATGTTTGAAAAGCGAAAGTACAAAAAAAAAACACCAGTATGCCAAAAATTAGTGAATAAAACGAACCCCAGCTTAGAGCATTATTATTACCAGAGGAAAAGTGCAGTAAAATCCTGAGTTTATTTTCTTTTAATTCTAAAGAGATATTTTCATCCTTCAATTCACCCCATTCTGAGCAGCTCAATCGTACTTGATCATCAAAATTATCCTCAATCCTGGAGCTTATTTATTCAGCACAAAACATAGAAACAATAGAAACTGATGATTTGGAGTTTTATATCAGTTTTATACCAATAACTACAGAAAAGGATGTAAAAAACAAATTTTGAATAAAATCTGCTTAACTATAAGCACTCTACCTGTAATGCTCCTGGTCTTAATTGGATCCGAAAAAATTAACTTACTGTATTCTAACAGTAATGTCATTAATGTGAAAATACAAAGCATGTGATTCATTTTGTACGCAACACTGTTTTTCAACTATTTGCAAAAATCAATCTATATCATTTGGATTTGCTTTTCCAATTTATCTTAAGTAACATTATAAGATATACCTTACTCCAGCCTTTTCAAAACCAACCATATTCAATACTGTTTCATCATTATAAATTGCAAGTTTGGGCTTATGTACTGAAAATATCCTATTCATTTTTAAAAGAAAAAGTTATCAGTTAAATTTACTTGAAAAAATTGCTAAGAAATGAGAACAAAACCACGAAAACATCTTCAATGAAATCTGGAATTTATTAAGAAATATTCAAAAATTTCCAAATAAAATTGATGCAAACTTGGTCTTGAAATATAATTGTTAAAAAACCACGAGAAGAATACATTTTTTTCGATCACCCCTGAAAGTACCGACAAAACAAGTCTTTAACATAGCATCATAGTTAACCCAAGAATGGATAGTGTTGAAGAGATCTGTACCATCCGTGCCAGCAACTCGGAGTAACTCATCAGCACCACCAGGATGAAACAGCAAATATTCAGTTACATCATACACCTACGAAGATATTAGCAAATAATATTGTGAAATGAGTGCTTGTATACTAATATGATTTATCTGACTTATTTAAAACCAACTTTTTCACCAAGTAGTATCCAACAATCATTGATGTTTGTGTGTTTAGCAAGACCTTCATGATCAACAATTACCTCGGTCTTTACTTTACTACTTTTAGACGAGGTAAGTCGGATCCAATCAATTAAGCTTCGACTCTTTGCAAGAACAGCTTTTGGACGCCTTATCTACAGCAAGCAATTATTTAAAAGAAAAATTGCAAAAAACATGAAACTGCATTTCACGATATGTATTTACCAATGTTTCCATAACACCAAAGGGAAATAAATGAAAATAATAACAAAGACGAATACTAAAACTGAAATACAAAGGATTCGAAATTCATAACTAGTTACCAATGAAGTTGATGGCAGGAATGACATGACTGTGTTTTTTCTTAATTAGATTATCTTCCAAATGTGATTATGAATGGTTTCCAGCCTGCAACTGACATCCTGGGACAGAACTTGAAGAATACACAGAAACATACAAAAATCTTTGATAAAATTAGCAAATATCTAGCAATAAATTATGCGATTTCACTCCCATATTCCATCAACCACATCAAAAACGCGATTTTTTTCACTACTATAAGAATGTAGTAATGCAGTAAGACACTTCTAGCACACATTCATTAAAGACACAAATTGACCACCTTCTGTAACAACCACCTTCACTTTCTATTCGTAATCACTGCAATCATAACGAAAAACAGAGTAGATTTCCCAAATAATTTGCAGCTGCTAACACTAGAAAGAACTGGAGTGATTGCAAATAGAACTCATTTACTTGGTATTTCACTTCATGTTTCAAAAAGTAATTTTATGCAAATGAATGTCAATATCATTTAGTTAATATTTCACAAGCGAGTAGTATGCAGAGCAAATAACACTGAGTTAGCACTTTCGCTACAACCTGCCTATCACGCCTCTTATGACGCGATAATTGCACACTTTTACCATTCACGTGTATCTTTTCTATTATCACTGTCCACTGTACCCCCAACATACATCTATTCTGCACTCTCTCTTTTTGCCATGTGTTCTAGATTTTTAATTTATTTTTTCATTAACTTCAAACCTCTTACCTGCTCATTTCCTTCAAAGCATTTAGCTAACTTTTCCCTCAACTCTAGCACGATTTTGGTGAGAAGTTTGCAATTTTGTTGTCCTACAAGTACTGTCATCGTCGCAGACTCTAATTACCTGAACTCTTATTTCCTGTTTCTTACGTCTTTATCACAAGTTCGATGCATTGCAAAGTGAATGCTAACCTGCTTTCTAGATTTCGCCGGAATCAAAGTCACATTGTGTTGTATCTTTCATATACCAAGGGAAGGGAGCATGCTGTATTTAATTTACTTATGACATTGTTTACCAAATCTTTTCTCTATTCAAGAGTTACTCAGTTGTTGCAAATCAGTATGGTACATAAGCTTCATCTACGAGTTGCTAATAGATCTGAATCACAAAGTTCATTGTTAAAATTGCCGTTGAGAATAAAATCTATGCAGCATTTTTTAGGTACGGTATAATTTCAGTGTTAAGAACATAGTTCCAAATTGAAAAGACTCGTGAAAATTTGCCAATTAATGGGCCGTACGAAAGGGTCTGAGGCGGGTAATTTATCTGTTACTAAACGTGGCACAAAAGGTGGCAAAGACCGAGGAGTTACGGTAAGTGCAAAAAGTGGCTTTGATGGACCATTAAATGCTCCTTGGCGTAAAACAGTTTCAATATTTAAACAGCCTGTTACTCTTGTACATACTACTAGTCGTGAGACAAAGAATCCTACAAACGAGCAGTTGCGACGTGTGTGTACATCGAATAATGTAAAGAATAAAGCTGATAAGCCTAGACAGGTTTGTAAATTTGATTGTATATGTCTTTAGTACACTAGATTACGCTGTAAAGCATAGAAAGCTATCATTTGCAGAGAGATTTTCAGTGCACCAGTTGGTGACCTTATTATTTGTCTTTGTGTTTCTAGTTGATCTTTGTTTCGGTAAAAGGAGACGATGTACTGTTAAATAATTTGATCTTTGCAGTTGTATTGGGCGAAATCACTGGGAAATCTTTGTGCAATGGCACCAATTTGCACTGCTGATCGTTTAACAATAGATAGCAATGAACATATTGCTCAAAGATTAGATTTAGCTGGGAAAATAGAGCCAGCCTTGGAAGTACTTGGTATCGCTGGCTCGGCAGCGTCACTTTGTTCAGCACTGCATGGATTTTCAGCATCAGTAATTACAGGACAAACTGCAACCAAAAAGCAACTTGATTCCAATCCATTAATTAATACAGATGCTGATCAGCCTTTTATTCAGGTAGGTCTCGAAACATATTAGAAATATGGTAAGAAAAAGGTAAACTACAAATTCCTGGCAAGAAGATGGAATTTTAAAAAGCATTGAGCTGCAAAAATTATTCTTGAAAGAAATAGTTTTCAGTAAGTTTACTGTTTCAGTTCTGTCCAAATTTGCTGCATATTATTTGAAGTCAGTTAAGTTTAGATATTAGTCAGGTTATCCATTAAGCAACTGCAGAAGAAAGTTCTAACTCGATGTTTTTTTAATTTTATACTATTTCATGTCAGTGGCGGAAGTATTGCAAACATTTTTTATCCTTTAATGTCAGTTCATAAAGTGAAAGTTTTTATGAGTAATGGAAAGAAAATCATTGAATAAGAGCTTTTGTGATTAAGGCAATAACAGTGAGTGAGCAGGATATCCAGCAGCAAGAGCGACGTGTTTTAGATTTGCGCAAACGATTACAAGAAGCACGTAAACACTTTCAGTTGTAATATTTTGGCATCAAATAATATGACATGAAGTCACTAAATACATTACAGATAAAAGTTATTGTTCATTGATTCACACATTTTTATTAGACTACTGCGTTGTTGTCATCATCTGTTTAACAAATTATACATTTGATAAAAAATATCATGTTTATGTCATGCATTGTTGATTAATATCAAGATTTATTTTGAGACTTATATCTGATTCTAAAGTAGGCCCTGTGTGTTATTGTGAAAGTCATTCGAATAATAATCTGGGTTGAAAACGGACTCAATTAGTTCGACATTACATTTGTCATTAGCTGAAAAAGCTGTTTACCATTTTACGAAAAACGACAAGAAAAATAATAGAGATAAATATTATTAAAAAGAATTTAAATGGTAAATGGAAGTAATATTTCTTGTGATTACATAAAATCCGAGTAGTTGCAAACAAAAATCAGCAGGAAAAATTGCAGCGTTATAAATTCTGCTATGCTTGAATTTCAAGTAATGTACATGAGATTTCACTTAATATAATCAAAACAATCAGAAATTAGGGTTCTTGATTTTCTAGCTGTCGATTTCTGCAATATGAAAGAAGAATGAATAGGAATGAGCAGTCGCATTAAGTTGAAGCTACAGTCTATTACAGGTGGACTGCACTATCAGCCAGGAAAACCGGGAACAAAAACGGCGGAGCGACTCGCGCAATATGATTTGGAAACATTAATTATAAACCCAGTTATAACGCCATACCAGAATTTATGATCCTGTTTCCTAATTTTTCTATAATTCGCAAGCAAATCAACAAACAGTCATTGCTATAATATCAATTACGTTTGCATCTCTCTAACACAAGCATAGCGAATCCGAACTATGGTAAAACAGAAGCACGAAAAAATAAAAGAACGAAAAGTAGGTTGAAGTAGACAAAGACCATAAAAGCCAAACAAGAAATCTGAAGAACTCGGACAGGATCAAACTATAGACACAGCAGAAACGTGATGCTAATACTGAAAGTAAAAACACTCCACATATAGAGATATTGCAAGTGGGCCAGCATTTAAAACAGAAGCACTGGCGTATCTGCATCTATATCTTGAACAAAAGATGAATGGTGCAAGAAAAACATAGAACTAACCCGTCGAAGATCCTCGAAGTATATTACCTCAATCTTCACCACATAACATCACACAGAGTATCGTAATAAAACGAAAATCTCAGTACTGTTCGGTCAGTAATACTTTCATTTCTTCAATCAGAGATCTACCTGCTAAGAGTATTTATTATTAGAATAAAATGTATTATGAGTTATTTCTATTGA